AGATCTTGTGAAATAGATCTCTTCTTCTTCCCTTTTTGTTGTTGTCTTTATTTCTCTGCATTGTTCGTTGTAGTAATTTTCTTTATCTTTATGCACTAGCCATTGTAATGTTGTATTCATGGTTGTTGTTGTTTTGTTTCTCTTCTTTCCTTTATTTCTTGGAGTGTTTTATCTGTCATCCATAGTTTCTTTTCTCTTTATTTTTGTCCATTGAAAGTGTTTGCATTCTTCTTTTATTATGTCTTTGGCTTCAGACCATGGTTCATCTGGTTCTCGATCTATTATGCTTAGTATCACAAATCTGTTCCTTATGTTGTCAATAAATTCTGTTGAGGTATTGTTTAGATCTTATTTTGATATGATGATTAATTTTGTTTTCTTCTTGAGTTTTAATAGGGGTAAACAAAAGGGGAAAGTTTTTAATCCAAAAATATAGTATAGAAAAGTTTTTTTAATGTGGCACTCCTGCTAACTAAAACTTCTCCATTTCACCCACAGATGTTCTACCAGTAGAAGAGAGATCCCCCAGCCTTACCCCCTCAATGGAAGTCAAAATCCAGCAAGAACTGCCCCCACCCCCCATTTCCCCAGCTCTATCCCCCAAGGAGGCACCACCTGTCTTAGAAGAGCAGCCACCAGTCCAGGCATCTACTGAACCTGAGGACTCTGAAGACACTTCACTCTTCCACCTTGCCAAAAAACAGGAAATGGCAGCTATTCGTGGGGAGACAGATGAAGAGGAGGTGGAGAAAGTTGGGGAGAGGATCTTCCAAGAGCCAGACAAGTTTGTCCTACATGTGGAGGATGTCCAGGCCCTCAAGGTGTGCTGAGAGCCCCAAGAATGTGGTGTTTAAAACTATAAATACAGGCAGGGGCAATTTTAAGGGTAACATTTGAAAGACTTTTCAAGACTGATTTTCCTGTTTCCACAATCTCGGGGGGGGCAGTGGTAGTGCAGGGTAGCTGGGAGAGTCTGTTGCAGTAAAAATAACATCTAAGACTTTGGTGGCACCAAAGACTAGCAAGTTTTATTTGGCAGAAATGTCTGGGCTCTACTCCTACTTCCTGAGATGAGTGGATGGGGAGGCAGTTTGGACACATGTCTGAAGTGGTGGACTAGAGTCATGGAAGCTCACGTCAAATAAAATGAGTTCTCGTGGTGCCATAAGATTCTTACAAGATACTCTTATTGCATTGTCTGAATTTTTTCCCTTAGGCAAGGTTTTGACTTTCTATGTATTTGTGCTTTTAAAATTCATCATTGCATTTAAAATTGAAATCTGACACGGAAGCTTTTAGGAGTGTCCTTTCCAGGGAACCAATCAAATCCACACCCACACATCAGATGCTTCTGAAGGAAAGATGGGAAATGTGTAGTCTTTCAGATTTGTTGGTGTGCAGCTCACTTTATTCCTAAATAGCATGGTTGAGAGTGAGGGATAACTCAAGCCACAGGACAAGGGCCATGTGTTTTTCACTTCTATTTTAGAGCTTTACTGGGCCTTGATTTAAGCTGGTTTTTATCAAGTTAATAAATTCCTAATTTTATCAAAGCCAAAAAAAAATCTCCTTGTATCTCAAAACATTAATCTGAGAATGTCCTGACATTTCCAATTTGACAGTCCAAACTTTCAGGAAAGTAGTGGAAAATACTCATTCCCACTGAGAAATTAATAGCTTATCTCCCCTTGATTTTGCAGCTTCTTTCGTCCTAGTATCTTATGGTTTCTATTCTGTGTTCCAATCAGCATCCTCTCTGTTGTGTTGTCTGCTAGTAAAGGATCTTCAAGGGCAACACCATGTAGAGTGCGTTACAGCAATCTAATCTGGAAGCTGCCATTGTATGAACTGCTTCTTGCAGTCTCAGCTCCAAAGGAATTTCATGAAATCCTCACTTCAAACCCAAAAGACATACTGGCTGAACAGTGCATGGTTAGTGGTGGGCGTTTCCTTCAAGGTTTGCACATCCCATCAGCAAAAGTGAGGTTATGTGCCCATTTGCAATGAACTGAAGTGTTTTTAACACAAATGAAGTGTTTAAAACAGTGGAGTACTGTTGGCCTATGGACATTGGCCTTTTTTTGAAATCCCGATTATAGGTGTCTTGGTCTGAGTGTGTTGATAAAGGACACTTTTCTCTTTCACCTTCATCATTTATTTGATGCTTTAAATGTTTAATTTTAATTTTAAAATTTAAATGTAAATCTTTTAAATCATCCATGTAAAGGATTCCGAGGCATTCAATACCACAATCGAGTGGAGCAGTGGCGAAAAGCCAGCAAGCTGGCAAGAGGGTGAAGTCACAATGAGCACACAAGGTGAAGGAATCGATCAGCCTTCAACTTCTTCTACAGTAACAGCTCATGAGCAAACTGCCAGCACAGAACCATTGAAGAGGGGACGAGGGAGACCTAGGAAGCAGCCACAAGTCAGTATATCTCTTCCCCACCCACCCCACTTTGCTCAACCAGACCATCCATAGATGTGTGCCTAGTGAAGAGGCTGTGGACTCGGGCCCACATGTGCCCAGTGGATAGGAAAGCTCTTGGGCTTTTTGATGGCATGTGGTGGTGGGTTGTTGCTGCTGTTCTGTTCTGATGTCAGGTTCAATTTGGTGGCTAGCTCTATTGAGAAAGAGAGAGGCACACACACACCGGGCAAGCTGGAAAAATTGAGTTTGTCAGGCTTCTCTTTGTGTGTATGTGTGTG